CATGAGAAAATTTCTTCTCCCCCGAGATTCGAACCAGCGCGCATTCTGTATCACCGGTCCGAAGCATGATGCCTCAGACCGCTTGGCTGTAGGTGTTCAAAATTACCATCGTTAGCACTGCGGCACAATTGACAGTAATGAGCAGTTGACAGAGGGTCCACCGAGGACTGTAGCGCCAACTGAAGAAGAATAAGATGAAAGAGAGCAGCTGACAGACAATTGTTGCTGTTGGAATGGCTCTGCAAGACAGTTAAATTTCTTGCTGGAGATCTTGGAGTGTTAGTACATTTCCGCTGTACACCAAGAAAAAGTCAAGTGATGTTAAATATGGCAATCATGGCATTTACTCAATCGACCGTTTGTCATTTTGTGTATCTAAATCATGGAAGAAGATATTGCAGTACCATCTGATAAGTGTGAATCACACTAGGTTCTGCTCACAAACACAACACACAGATCGGTAACAAGGTTAATATTCCATATTATAATGTGTATACATCTTTTTGGGACACCTGTATATGTTTTTCATCAACATGGAAACCAAAATATGGCTACCCTTGTTGACTGTTTTGCTTAAAGTTCTCAAAATAGGTGCCAAGGAACAAATACAAATTAGACTGAAGGTCCAGAGAGATACTTTTGTAAGATGAAATTGTAAATGCCTTAAATTTGTTTGGTTTTATCCTCTTGAGTGCCCTTTGAATACCTTCTTTTAATAACTGTTGCAAGCACAAATTGTATAAAATGAGTCTTCATGGTCAAAAGGCACAGTAGTATAGAAATCACGTGTTCGTATAAAAAATACTTTCTACACGATCAGCTGTTCTAATCTTGTTGATTTAGTGTCCTGTATGAAGGAAGTTTACCTTTGACCAATTTGTAGTAACAGTCAGTGGTGCAGAACTAGAAATAAAAGTACAAAATGTAGCAGTGTGAAAGCAGTTGTCTATGTTAAGTCAATGGGCATGAATCATGATATGAGACCATTCCCATTGTTATTTAATGACAGCTTTATGCATTTGAATGCAGAATTGGATGGTAGTTCAGTGGAGGGAATCTTCCATCTAAAGGGGGAAGATAATAGTTCAGTACATTATTAGGAGATCATTAAATTTAAATTGAATTATTCAGTTCAAACTGTTATGACAATATACAATTTTTATCATCACGTTTCTTTCTCTTTTCTCTGTCTCTGACATTGCATGGTGTACCTTCAATAATTATCCCTCAGATGTAAAACGTAATGGTTGGAATGATCCTTTGTTTCCTTCATCAAAGTTTGTAACATTCTGTTCAAATGAATGTTTTATGTCTAAATCTGTAAACAGAAGAAATCATTTGCAAAGTACTGTATGAATTTGGCAAACTTCTAGTAGACTACATGGTGCTACAAACCCGAAGACATCCATCTTCCTTCACAAAAGATTCAGATGTCCCAGCCAGAGGACTTCATAAACATAGAGAAAACCAGCCAAGGCTTTTAGTACTGGTACACATAGTAATGCTTTAAATGAAACAGATCTTTCTCTCTCTCTCCCTAAGAGGTATTCTCTTCACTCAGGTCATCTGATAACCAAGCCTTTCCATCTAGCTCTGTCATGACACAACTCCTCGATAGTATCTCTCCATGTTCTTTTATTTCATTCTCTGCAACATCTTTCCTAACCAGTTGCTCCCATCTTGACAGTGGTTTCTCTCGTGGGTGTTTTCCTTTTATTTTCATGATAAATCCTTCCTTGGAATGCTCTCTTTGTGCATTTTCAAAATGTGTCCATACCGTCTTATTCTGTTATTTGTTACTTTGTTGTTTTGTCCCAAAAGATATATGATTTAAAATTGTATCTAATTAGTTCTTATTTTATCTCATTTGATTCTTCCTTAACAATTTTTATAGTCTCATCTCTGCTGCCATTAAATCCACCATCTGTCATGGTTCATGTCTAAGTTTCTGCTCTGTACATTAGAATTTGCATCTAGTAATTTTTAAATAGGCATATTTTTATATATCTTGAATTATTTTTGTATTTTTTTGTTTAATACTTCCATTTATTACTATTTTACTCCTTTAGTAGTAAGATAGATAGCAATTACAAATACCCAAGGTATGTTGAGTGTGTATTTTTATACACTTTTACTTTATTTTTCTTTACTTTACTTTTATTCGTACTTTTATATAATTGTACTTTGATATACTTCTATATTTTTATGTGCTTATTTTTATGCTGAAATATTTCAGTTGTCATGAATTCTTTATTGTCAGAGTGACCTGATGTCTTTCTTGTTTTAGGTTCCAGCACACCCTGGAGATCCAACTCGAGCTGACAGAACAGTACCCTTTCAGTTGTGCATAGCTCAGTCTGGCATCAGTGTTGCAGGCTCTGGTGTGTGGACAAGGGTACCTCTACGAAAGGGGTTGAGATTTGGTCCATATGAAGGTGCAAAAGCAGAAAGATCAAACAGGAATGGCTACTGCTGGCAGGTGGGGGATAATAGTTTTAATATTTAATTACAAGCACTTTGTTCCTTAGGGTGGGTATTTAACTATGTTGTATTGCCAGCTTACATTATGTAACATCACATAAAAGAATACATACCAACGTGTATTCCTGGGTGTTCATTTCTCCTATGATGTTTTCCAACTAGCATTTTTGATCTCTCCCATGTATGATGCACATTCTCCCCAGCTCACCCTTACTGTTTTAATTACATTAGATGATGACTACACATTATGAAGTTCCTTGTCAAGTAATTTTCTCCATCCACCTGTTGCTTTACCTCTCTTGGGTCCAAGTATTTTCTCAAACACTGTCAAAAAGTTCGTTTCTCACAGTGCCAAATTTTCCAGGGATTTATGAAGAATTTATTTTAAATTCTAGAACATTAGCTTTTAGAATGCAGTTATGGAACCTGGCTGTTCATGATACATGTATTCCATGCCTAGCTACAGGAGAATGAATGTTGTCTTTTATGGTGTCATTAATTATTTGTTTATTCACATGTAGGAAATTCCAGTACTGAAATTCATCAATGTCTGTCTGTGTTTGCAGTGTTCAGTTTGAGGGTTCTGCCATAATCCAGTACAGTTTGCACATTTCTTGGAATATTAAAGCCCACTCTTGATGTTGCCAAAATTCATGCTCTGGGCATTACTGTTACAAATACAAACAATGTCCATGTTGAAGTCAGTATTCTAACTAATGGACATATTAGTACACTTGAAATGAAATAATAAGTGATATTCTTCTGTCTTATTTTTCTACTTTTGTATTAATGTATAGATTAATTTTTTGTCTGTTTTACATGGCTTCCAAAATGTCAGTATTTTATGGCCACTTGAAGTGGCTGATTGTGAGACTTCATAGATTTTCTTCTAGAGCATTAGAACATTTTTAAGACACCTTTTTAGCAAATATGATCATTTTCCCTACTAATTTTCTCATTATTTTCCATCTTTGCTTAGTTTTGTCTTCTGTATCTGTAAATCATTTCCTCTGTGGCCTCTTTTTCTTCATAACTGCTTCTGCAATTCTGTCATTCCACCAGGGCATTTCTTTGTTTCTTTTTTACATTCTCCCACATATTTTTCTATGTAGTAATGCGCCCTTAAATATCTTCTATTCATCTGTTGACAGTTTCATCCTTTTGTATTTTTGCTTTTATCTTATTTTGGTATTCTTCTGTAATTTCCCTGTGCCCATGTAGTCTTCTTAATTAGCATGGTGAAGACATAATTTAATACCCATTGCTGCCCTCAGCAGAAAGTGGTTCATGAAAGGGAACGGATTTGCTTGTTGATGTACACTGACTTTTTAAACTTGAAAGTTATTTTACTTCTGGCTTTCAGTAGTGTACAAAGAATTAGTATCATAATAACATATTCCTCGATCACATCTCTCGTCTTCAGTGTGAGTATTTATGTAGGAGTTATGCTGTCTCTCTAAACCATGTATGCATTCTGGCATCTTACTCCATCAAAGTAAGATAATTTATAAACAGGATTAAGAGAAATTCATTGAAGAGTTATAATGTTTACATATTTTTATGAATTCACTTTATCCAGTTGTGATCATAGTCGCTTACTTTTGTTTCTTAAGGGCAAGAATTAAGCTTGTGAGCTCACCACGTGTTCTTTTCTCATCCTTTGAATCAGTTGAATGATTTTCACAAAATTTAGTATGGACATAATGGCATTAGAGGACACCCAATCCTTTTAATTTTTAATTTTCTACAATCAGTAATAACATTATTTTTTTTATTTCTATTTTGAGTGGTGTAAAACAAAAAGGTTACTGCCTGAAGTAAAAATTTACCTTCTGATTTGATGTTGATAACTAATACAATTTGCAGTGAGCCACTAGGAATCTGGTGTGGAAATATGTCGTAAAAATTTCAATAAATTATTTATGAAATATTGTTTATAAGTCAAGAATTACAAACAGAAAAACAACATAAAACACTGAGGTTTTGTCTGGCATCTGTACTGAAGTAATAAGTTGTTTCAAGAATCGAAGAAGAAATAGAATTATCTTCGCTGCTGCTGCTGCTGTTGCTCCCACTACAATCATCGCCACAGCAATTTCAGCCTTTGTTAATACTAGAAGTAGTAGTAGTAGTAGTAGTATTAATAATAGAGTTCTTATTTCTCAAAATTGAAAACCAAATTACAATTTGGCATTTATTGAGGGATGGCATTACATTAGAATTAATGAATTTTAAATATGCTGAAATAAAACTTGCCTATCCCATAACGTAATAAAAGAACAAACAATAAAGCTAATAGGAACCAGGTAATTTCTAAAAGACATTAAATTATATTTTAATAGGATAAAATTATTGTCTGTGCCACATCTCATTGAAAGAGGGCACTAAGAAGTTTAGGACATAGATACAAGGTTAATATTAAATTGAATCTTCGGAAGGCCGAAACATATTGTTCTGGTGAATGGACTTTGAATTGAGTATATATAAGTGATGAACAAGGAAAATCAAGAATCATCATGACACACTGGGATGCTACACTAAAGACTTGTAGTAATTATGAATTTTGTGATTCCAAAATGAGTATTATACAGATGTAAACATTTATTTTGGAAATTAAAATTATGCTATCTTAATTTTTTTTAAATTTCCCTCAGTTGTTATACACACTTTTTAATAACTTCCCAACATATTATTATTATTATTTGTTGTGTGATTTGCAGATTCATCACAACAGTCGGCCATTATATTGTGTGGATGCCAAGGATTGTGGTATTGCCAATTGGATGCGCTATGTCAATTGTGCTCGCCATAAAGAAGAGCTAAATTTAAAGGCATTTCAATATAAAGATGAAATTTACTATCGAACATTCCAGCACATACCTGCGCATGTTGAGCTGCTTGTGTGGTATGGTGATGAGTATGGTCGAGAACTGAGTATTGATGTTAAGAATTTTCACAAAACTCAACAAAAACAGTGCCATAGTGAGTAATTTTACAACTGAATTTTTCTTCTAAAAAGTATGTTGTATTTATTTCTGTTATTCCTTATATTTCCTTGACTTCAGTCATCCACTGTATGTCTGAAAGATTTAATGTAGGTTTAACATGCTGAAGCCTGTGAAAATGCATAGACTATTTTTTTAATTAGGAAATGAGTTAGCTTCTAATTACATTTGATTTAAACTAATTCAGTAAGTAAATTATATGTGTCCCTCACTATCTGTTGATTTCTACATTGTTTTTTTAGCATAAATAATTATAAATCTAAAGGGAAGAATTTAAATTACACCTGAGAAAAAATAATTAATTTAAAATCTTGACTGAGCCATGTGCAAACCATGATACTCATTGTGACCACCATCTAACTCTGGAAGGCTAACAGAAGGTGGTACTCATTGATAGGTGTCATATAACTATAATTTGGCAGCCACAGGAGATGTTCCTTTGATAAGCTACTGATACTGTCCTTTGTAGATGTGTTCCGATGTGTTGGATGTGGTACTACATATTCAAGCCCATTGTATTTGGAGAATCATAAGAGTTATTGTCGTGGACTAAAGGGTATGAGGTTAACGCAAAGTGGAAGAGAGGTTGGTGTTAAACGCAGTCAAAGCAACAGTATTCATAGTAAGCTACAATGTGGTCAAAAACAGTACCAGTGTAGTGGTCATGACAGTGATCGACCGACCAGCCTGAGCTATGTTAAACCAGTGAATTTAAGCATTGAAGGTGATATGTGTGACAAGGTCTCCTGTACAAATTCTGGTTACTCCAAATATATTAGAAACAATTTATATCAGTGTCCTGCTTGTGGTCAGAATTTAGCATTTCAAAGCAGTCTTATAGCACACATTATGAAACATGAGAGAGAGAAATCACATGAATGTGAAAATTGTGGTTGTAAATTAGGTGGAAGACGTAATCTGTACGCACACATGAATGTCAAACCTTATGAATGTGAGGAGTGTGGTCACATTTTAGTTCAAAGATCTGATTTAAATACACATATGAGAGGTCACACGGGAGAGAAGCCGTTTGGATGTGAGGAGTGTAGTCACAAGATTGCTCATAGATCTAATTTAAATAAACATGAGAAGTCACATGGGAGAGAAGCCATTTAAATGTGAGGAGTGTGGTCACAAGTTTACTAAAAAATCTATTTTAAATACACATATGACAATCCACACTTGAGGGAAGCCATATGAATGTGAGGAGTGTGGTTACAAGTTTTTATAACGTGGGATTTGAAATTCTGCAGGAGATCTCACAAGGGAGAGAAGCCGTATGAATGTGAGGAGTGTGGTTACAAGTTTGCTCAATGATATATGAATAGAAGAATAGTTACCACAGATATCTGTTATGATTACACAGCATTATAATGCTTATTGGAGAAAAGATTGTATAAGAAGCATTATAACAAGTGTTTACATATTGAATCGAATATGACAGAAAAGAAATCACACCAAGAATGAAGTTAATGACTATCACAAAGCAACATCCACTTGGAACAATATTAGTGCTGCATAATATGAAGAATGTTTAAGAGTTATTGGTTATTGGTTGTATATTGATGTTATTGTTTGTACAATTCCTTCTCATTATTGTTTACTCATCACTGAAAATCTTTGAAATTTAGAAATTTATTTATTACTTCAAATCCATTCTTCTCATTGGCTATTTTTGTTATAAGTGAAGGGAATTGGGGTTTTAGGAAATATAATTGTAATGCTCAATACAATGTGTAGATGAAAGAATTATTTGATTGAATAGCTAGTGGTCTCTTACTTTTCCATTAGTATAGAGCATTGCTTTTGTTATACCATCAAAAAATTACTCCTGTTAGCAGAGCTCTGCCTTGGACATTTTTCTACATTTTTGATATTTCGAAAATTTTAAAAAAAATTAAATTTTTCTTCAAAATTCTCCCCGCAGGATCAATGCCAGAACCGGTCTCTGCATAACCCGGTCCCTGCTGCACACTGTCTGACAGACGCGTCTCTGACGTACAATGTCTCTGCCTGATCCATTCCCTGTATCACACAATTACTGCAAGGCCATCTCTGCAAAGACCTGGTTGATCAGATGCCAGGTGAGGCACAGACCGAATGAAGCGGAGAAAGTGTGAGACAGAGAGTGTCGAGCATAGACCGTGTGCGTCACAGAAAGTGACCAGCAAAGAGCGGGTAAGGCAGAGATCGAGTAAAGCAGAGACAGGTTGAAGCATGGACTGAGTCCGGCTGAGACTGGTTGAAGTAGATAGAGTGGCAGAGACCAGATCTGATAGGGATGGGTTAGGTCAAATTCTGGAAAAAAAAATCTAATTTTTTAAAATATTCTAAAAATAGAAAATGCTGCAAATTGTCTGAAAATCGCAAAAAACCAAAAATTAAAAAATTAGAATTTGAAATATTTCAAAAAATTTAGTTTTAATTATTCGTGTTTTTTCCGTCTAATCACAATTGTATATAAATAAAATATCATTTACATATTTGGTACAACTTTTTACTACATGTTTCGGTTACATTGAACCATCTTCAGGTGTAAAGTTAAAAGTCAAAAATTATAATCTTATAAACTAAAACTTAATTACTGTTGTGTAACTTCTGATGATGTTTACTTCCAAATGCATTGGAGTGAGGGTATATTTTGAAGTGATAGTGGTTTAACATTGGCCTGTAACGATCTTATCTTATGTACAATTTTATTTATATACAATTGTGATTAGACGGAAAAAAACACGAATAATTAAATTTTAATTCACAATATGACGCAATTATATCAAATTATCAAATTTAGTTTTGTAAGCGTTTTGGACATTTTCCTACACTGTTTGATTTTTCGAAATTTTTTAATTTTTTTAAAAAAAAATTCTTCAAAATTCTCCCCAAGCGGTCACTGCCGAACTCTGTCTCTGTATTAATCGTTCATGCTGTGCCCCGACTTCTGACAGGCCGTCCCTGCAAAAACCTAGTTCGACAGACGGTAAGGCGCAGAACAAGTCAAACAGACGTGTGAGGCAGAGACCCTGTGTGGCACAGGCCGTATCCGCAGATCCGGGAGGAGCACAGTGGGTATACGGTTGAAACTGTGTGAGGCTAATACAGTCTGGAAGAGACAGGGTCCAGGAGAGCAGAGTTCTGATTTGGATGGTGTATGTAAAGCTTAGAAAAAAATTTCAAACTTTTCGAAAAATCAAAAAACCACGTAAATTAATTGAAAGACGCACAAAGCCAAAATTTTCGAGCCGTCGTTGTAAAGAATGTTTCGGACAGAGACCGTGTGAGGCATGGCCTTTGTCCGGCAGAAGGTGATGCTGAGTTCGAGTCCAGCAGAGACCAGGTGAAGAAAGGGACTGAGTATGGCAGTGCTGGTTAGGCCGTGACCGAGTCGTGCAGATACGTTGTGTGGCAGGTACGAGTTCTATCAAAGAGATGTTTGTGTGGGGTAAATTTTTGAAATTTTTCAAAAAATCAAAAATTGCTGGAAATTGTCTAAAAAGCGCACAAAACAAAAAAAAATTAGGTGAAATTTTTTCGATTATTTTTAGTTTTTTGCGCCATTTGGAAGATTTCCAACATTTTTTTGAACATGTGACCAGCAACTATCAGCTTCACAAGAAGGTCTCTGCTCTATAGACTTAGTTATTTGGCTAACTGAGGGAGACAAAGCGACAGAATTCTGGGCAATATTGTCGAATGTTATCAAGGAGGATGAAATGGGCGGATATGCGTGTATAATTAAATGGTAGGTGGAGGTCTTTGCATAAACAATTCCACAAAGCTCTTTACACTACAAGCAGTGGAAAAAGGTACCCCTTAAGTAGCTTTACAGAGGTTTTAATCCAGAACAACCATTCAGTTAAAAATTTTAAAAAAAACATTCTGATTATGGGCATGAGGAATGGAAGTTGTGTGCATTTCTATCACCACTGATCCTATCCGTGGTCATAACTTTCCCGCTGTAGCCTTTCTACATTACACAAACAAACATGTCTGGCATAGAAACTGTTATACACATCGTTCAAGAATCTGTAACATTCGATGTTACGAACGGGATATGAGTATTTTTAAGTATTTTCCTGTCCTGAATATCATTTCTGCACGATACGGTCAATCAAGGTTCTCCGATCTTATCTTATTTTAAAATATTTACAAATTTCGTAAAATTTTATTCGTACATTATCATGGAAATATACAAACAAAAGAAGGAAATCTTTCTAAAAAAAGACGTAATTAATACCAGAGTCGGTACACGTTCTCAAACCGAGGCCATAGCTGGTAGCACATGATTACACTAGCGAAGGAACTGATAAAGTTCCTTGTAAGAACTGTCAAAATAATACAGAATCCAGCAGAGACGAATAACTAGGCCTATTTTTATTTGTGAATAAATTCTGTTTCATTGAGTAAATAACATAAACTGATACGTTAACATACAACAAAAATCTCAGAAATTAAATTTGAACACATATTTGAACAAAATTAAATAAATCCCCCACTTTTGTCGGCGCGTAGTAAAATCATCCATCGCGCGTTATAATACGTCATAAATCACCTCTCTTACAATGTATATCCTCAAAACATTTGTTGAATGAATAAAATAAGACCTAAACTGAAATAACTGTGGTCATATTCCATTTTTCGTCAGCGTTACAGTCGCGTGTGATGTAATGTTACGGACATTGCGATAAAGTACAAGGGCTGTTCAACTTTCTCATTAACATGGAAGAACATTTTCCCTCCATTACATAAATTCTATTTGACCTCGAAATATTTCTTCCTCGCTTTCTTAATGACTCTGTTGTAGATAAGAGAACTGTAGAAAAGAAATAACGAGTAACCCAGTTAGAACTTTACAATGGCTAATTTCTGGGGAAATATAAGAAGGAGTTACTCTGTCAAAACGCGGACATAGCGTCAATTTTTATAAAATGTGACTAAATAATTCCATGAAAACAGTCCTTACTGAGAAGCTAACAGTAGCTCAGCTACACACGAAATTCTCCGCCATCTACAAAACTCGAAGGTGCTCAAAAGAACAGTCACCTATCCCTGACCCAGAAAAATTCAGTTCATACTTTTATAGCCTATTCTACTTTGTAAGATCCATTTTAATAGTATTATTCCACGTATACTTAGGTCTTCACAGCCGTCTCTTCCATTGAGTTAATAATGCGTTTAATGTCGACTCATTTATTATACATATTATACAAATGTCCAAATTTAGAACAATGAAATTAACTTACACTAAATGTATATATACAGGCATACCTCGGAGATATTGCGGGTTCGGTTCCAGACCACCGCAATAAAGCGAGTCACACGAATTTTTTGGTTTCCCAGTGCGTATAAAAGTTATGTTTACACTATACTGTAGTCTATTAAGCGTGCAATAGCTTTATGTCCAAAAAACAATGCGAGAATTACCAAAATGTGACACAGAGACACGAAGTGAGGACGTGCTGTTGGAAAAATGGCGCCGATAGACTTGCCACAAACCTTAAATTTGTAGAAAACGCAATATCTGCGATGCGCAATAAAACGAGGTATGCTTATACTCTGCACTTTGACAATGTTACATCCTCGTCGCTAGAACAAAGTCAGGCTTTGAAAACAGCGGTAATTACACGAACCATCTTATTTAATATCAAACACGAGATTGAGGAGAATATTTGGACCTACGAGAAATAAAATTACAGGAAACTGCAGAATAAGGAGGTTCATAATTTGTAATCTCCGAAATAATATTATTGTGCCAGAATAATCAAATCGAGAAGGACGAAATAGACTGGGCATGTATTACGCATGCACTGATAATAATATGTCCAAATCTCGAGCAATAAAAAAACTTACATTTCAATTATAAAAACTGCATTTTGATAATGTTACTCTCTCGTAAATAGATGATACCTTCATACTTTGAAATGCAGTGGTAATATATGCACCGTCTGCTGTAATATCCAATAAATCTCGCATAGCTTATATCTGGTTTTCGTAACATTTATCAGAATAAACAGCTACAATTTTCCTAAACACCAATAATATTATCATACAAAAACGTGGCTCATAAAAACGAGAAACACTGTAGATAATACCGGTTATAAAAATCCATGCTATCAGAGCTAATTACGGGACAGAATTCGCACTCAATAATCATAATTATATCACGTCCTAATTAATTCATATCTACTCTGTTCGGCCCAACGTAACTGTAGACTAACGAATTAAGTTTCATTAAGTGAAATAAAAGTTGGCAGTGGAACCACGGTTCAGGAGAATTTGACGTAAATACGTCTATACGGAAAGGAAGTTTATATATTGGCTTTATTCTAAATATTTCTTTATACATGCTTTACAATTGAGTAAAGTTTGATTAAGACATTGCTTATTTAACTTGAATTAGTTACGCTTAAGATGGGTCTGTGGTAGCTGAATGTAATGTAAGGTAATGTAATGAAATGTTTTATAGGTAACAACAATGCCGAGTAAACAGATGACGTTTCCTAGGTAACATAACAATGAAGTTACATTTTTTCGTAACACATTCTTGCCGAATGACCCTTCCTTATAGACGTATTTACGTCAAGAAAAGAAACAAATAGCGGTAAGGCATCTTACTTGTAACCGGGATATACCTAGTTCGAATCCCGACATGCTACATCTCTTTCTCTAGGTCTCCCCAGATATAAACGTTGGGAAACCCGGACATATTTCTCGTTTCTCCATGCAACCATTCATAATTATCTTTACATTTCATTCGATCGTGAAAAACGTTGTGCTTAGCGTCATTAAATGACTTTCAAATAAGCTATAAACTATATAGGAACTTGAATAAATAGGTTGCGACAGACTTCCGGAGAAACCTGTTTCTTTCACATAAATGAATATTATTTATTGTTTACTTCAACGCTGTCAGTAATTGAATAAGTAATTGTTTCGCTCAACCAATAATTGGATGGCTGACCGGTACGCAATTTTGCTATCACGTCACGGGTGACGTCGTTAAACGAATATAGTCCACTTGCTTGCTGTATTCACAGCTGTTTCAACCAGTGGAATACAGTTGGTGCTTCGAGTGTTTGAATTACAGTAAGAAATTTACTTACAGTACCGTGAAGCAAGTGTTATCACCACATGATAAAGGGTAACATGTAACATTTTATTATTTAGTGTTCTGTGTGACGACAGGTCCATATGAACAGGATCCTTCCATCCTTTTCTCGGACTGGGACCTGTTCATATACGTTCTTGGCAGATGATCCAGAAGTGGTTTGCCATTGCCTTCTTCTGGGTGTGAATGGAGTAATTGTTGGGATGCCACAGAGAAACCGGGGAAGCCCCCGGAGGAAAACCCCGTGTTGCCTAGACCACGATCTTGCCCAACACAAGTTATAAATTCCGGCACCGCCGGGAATCGAACCCGAGACACCAGGATTACAAGGCCAGCGTTCTAACCGCTAGCCCACCTCATCTTATTATTATTTAGTGTTCTGGCTGACGACGTTAGACCGCCGTGGCTGACAGCATGTAACATACGCGTTTTTAATTACTTTTGAACAGAACCGTGAATAGCCTGTCTCTGCACAAAATCACTGCTAATTTAACTTTAAAATGTAACACTGAACCTGTAATTGATAAACCAATAGACCTCTGGAAAGATTTTGTAATTGCACACATTTTGTACGACAAATCGTAATGGTTGAATTTATTGTCAGACAATGACAGAATCTAGTCGATATCTGAGGTTCTCACAGCGGTAAAATAATCTATGGCAGTCTTCTGTGTAGGGATGCCGTGAGGACTTGTGGCTTAGATAACAAGGTTTCCAATACAAATACCGCCTCCATCTTCGGGGATGAAGCTGAAGGCAACACTGTACAGGCAGATGATCTTGGAAGACAATTTAGGGACGAGTAGGGAGAAGGGTAGGAACGGAAGGATTTTCTGTACGAGTCTGGTAGGAAACATTTCCTCCGCGCTGATCCTTAGACCAACTTGCTCATTGTATTACGTAAGGTGACACACGTCGACAATGGCTAACATGAACATTAGAAGGTTTGCGAAAGAATTTCACATCGAGTGAGGAGAGGGAGATAATTAACAATCTGTATATTCCACCGATGTTTTCTGAACAGTCAATAGAATGCCTGTTCCCGCGACCTTGACGCTATCGGACAGACGGAGTGGCAACTCCGCAAGGTAACTTTCAAAACGTTGGTTTCTACCTGCAAATCCACACGGCGTTATAATCCAAAAGACCGATTTCGATGACAACAAAACTGTAATTATTCCATTGCTTGGTCTGGCGGTTCACACTTTGTAATAAAGAAAATAAAAATTATAAATTTTATTTATTTGTAATTTGTTTAACGATGCTGCCAGAAGTTCAGATTATATAGACTCGAATTATTTAATTATTAATATTGAAAATGATGTGGAAGGAAGATGCCATAGCTTAATTTAAAGTACTGTATCAAAATTGCGTGCCACGGTGGTCTAGCGGTTAGAACGCTGGCCTTGTAATCCTGGTCTCTCGGTAAAGACCTCCTACCTTGAATCACCGACAGTACATTTGGCTTCCTCACACGTCCTTTCCAATTCATTATGAAATGATAAACGTATCATTCGACGCCATATAATTTGAGCTACTGACAATTTCGTTAGATAAATCACAAATAAATAACTAAAAACACTCTACCCTCTCTACAAAAATACAAAAGTCAATACACTTCTCACTGTCCTCAGTAACTGAGATGTGTTAACAAATTTTATGTACATTTAAGACAACAAAAATTATTTAAGTTCTGAAGTAAAGTGCCAACTTCTTAAGTAATGTCTCTGAGACTTTACACAAGGTACATTAATAAGCTGAGAGGTTTAGAGATATTATTATTATTATTAAGTGTTCTGTCTTACGACAGGTCCATTGCTCTGCCCAAACAGAGCTCTCCAGTTTTCCCTATTCTCGGCTTCCTGGAACGTCATCTTCTTTCCTTGTTTAAGGTCGTCGGTTAGCTGTATCAATCTTCTTCCTAGTCCTCTCTTTCCTTCAACCTGGCCTTCGATGATATCACTCAGTAACCCATTCCTTCTCATAATATGTCCCAGCCAGTTAGCTTTCCTTCGTGTAATCGCCTGCAGAATGCTTCTTTGCTCGTTGACTCTCCTCAATACTTCTTCGTTGGTCACTCGATCCGTCCACCTGATCTTCTCCAACACCACATTTCAAAACTCTCCAGGTATTTCTGTTCCTTCTTCCTGAGTGTCCAAGTCTCTGCTCCATACAGCGCGACACTC